ACTCTTTCGAAACACTGACGAGCATCAGAAAGGCTCCCGCATTTAGCATACATTGCCAGGAGCGCTGTCTGTGTGGAAGTATTAGAGTCCAAACCAATCCTGCTAGCAAAATTGTGAATTTGTCTCCAACGCTCAAGGGCGGCTGAATGCGCACATGCAGGAAGACCACTAAAGCTACATGGTCTATGTGCACACAACAGATACCCAAAAAACAAAGAAAATTTAAAAGCTGCATTGCATTTTTAGACCTTCCTAGATGACCTCCACCGGCTTTCACCGGCGTGTGCAATGTTGATAGCAGCAACTCTTATATAAAAGAATAAAAGAAAAATAAAGTAGAAGTTTATATAATATATATATATGTTAGTTTACATCTTTTAACCCATTTCAATGTTATAATTACATCTTTTAACCAGTATTTACATCCAACACTCCATGTTTTAATGATACTAACACACGTGACACGTCAGTTATAATAAGCAGAAGTTGTTCAAGATGATTTTGGGTTTCTTTGTTTTCGCTTTCGTTAACTTTGTTTTCACTTGTTGGGCTTTAGTCTCAACGGTCAACAAATAACCCATCTAAAGACCATATAGAAGTTGGATATGGGAAGTTGATGGTGGGTTGCGATAGGCCGAAATTAAATGTTATGATTAATAATGGGCTCGTTCAAGGCATAAAATATTATTTTATAAAAAAATCCATAACTGATAAGACTACTTTTTATTGCCAAATACAAACTAACAATTAATCACAAACACCTACGCAATTAGGATACGGAAAGCTATAATTCATTAAGAGAGAGAGAGAGGTTAATGGTTTTTTTCCCCAACTCTAATACAACAAGTACTGTATTCACTTCTGAAAATATGTAATTCAATAAGGATTGTGTTTTCTTGAAAACTTAAACTTCTCAAACTCCAAATTTTCTAGCTCCCCAGATTTCCTTTTTTTTTTTTTTTTCCAATTAAATAATATAGGGGAAATCTTCCTCCCTTATTGCTTAGACTATCGCTTGTATTAAAAAAGAAATTTTAATTTTAAAAATTTTAAAAATAAATAACTTAGGGGAATGATAATACCTACTGTAATTAATTAGGACCATATGTACTACAGTTACTTCAAAAGGCTATATTGAGTTGGGGAACGATCAAAACCTAGCTTAATTAGGACAAGTAATCAGAAATATGCATCAACTTTAATTCCTAACCGCATAGGGTTTAAAGACGTTGGATTAAAATCCTAGAACATATCTATTTGACCTCTTGTATTCCTATATAAATTGGAGGGCCTAATGAGCAATTGAGGACATAAATCATAACATCATCCGTTCCCTACAATTAAACTCCAACATTTCACATACTTTTTTTTTTTTTTTTTGATTACATTCACATACTTTGTTGAAGAGAATGAAGAGAATGAGGCACAATTACTACAACAACGAGAACAAGAAGCATAAGAAGCCAGAGTTGAACTTGATGACAGACGCCCTACCCAAGGAAATTCTTATCGACATCCTTTTGAGACTGTCCGTAAATTCGATTTGTTGCATCAAATGCGTATCCAAGGCCTTCTTAAAGACGGTTGTCGACCCCTTTTTTGCCACATTGCACATCCAACGTCGTTTTCTTACTACCACCATTGAACTTCCTCAACTAGTTCTTCACACTAAGTATCCCTTTCATGGTCAAACGATGCACCTATTAAAATACGATGGTAACGAATTATTGACAAAGAGCAAACAAGCAATTGTTTTCCAATTTTAGATGCAGACAGCTTGTGTATATGCACAATTTTGTTTTCTGCAACTTGCTTGGCTTTATTGGCCACGGTGATGATTATAAGAATGGAAACCCATGCTTGTTGCTAAATCCTTTCAAGGGAGAAGTTCTAATGCTCCCAACAATGAGCTACATACTTCAAGTTTTAGCCAACACTATCTCCCGACAAGATTCTTACGGCATGGGATTTGATAATATAACCAACACCTACAAGATTTTTCGTGTTTCCTACCTCATACGTACAAAAGGGCCAACTAACGACCGAAGTGCTTGTATTGGGGACAAACTCATGGCGGGAGTTACCCTTAGTTCCTCCCTGCTATCTAACCCCCAAGTCGGCATCTGCACTTGGGGGATATGCATTGGTTGGTTGATGGAGATGATAACGACTTACTTTCCTCGTCTGTACATATACTTTCTTTTGACTTCAAGAAAGAGGAGTTCTATTGGACTCCTCATCCCGTTGCCTTAGAAAAAAACCCGGGTCTCTGGAATTTTCTTCACTTGCATAATTTTAGGGGATCTTTGGCCTTAGTGGATTTTTCTTCGTCAAAAGATACATTTATGAAGATATGGGGATTGAAAAATACTTATGATAACAAAGAATGGATGCTAAAGTACAAAATAGATATGGAACAATATCTTCTTCCTCTTCGTCTTGGGAAGCTTAGATTTATAATCTCAATTCTGTAGTAGGTGCATTTTCGTTAGTAATTAGGATGACCGTATCTGTAGTAGCTACATTCTCCACTCCCGGAAGTTGTTGAAACGCATCCACACGCGCTTGGTACCTCGAGTACAAATGTGTTACATTGCATATGTCACTTTGTTCATGCCACATTCTAGAAACTGGTGGAATAGGATGATCTGGAGACGAATGAACCTACAAACAAGAATTCATTCAAATACGCATTGCATATAAAATTAAACTATGTAGCCTAAACAAATAAATTCATGCCTGAACATAGTGATCATCGTCAACAAAACCAATAGCAATCTCACGTAGCTTGGTTTCGCTTGGTTGAATTGAGAAATGAAGAAATGTACGGCATTGACGCATGCTTAGAAGAATTAAAACCACATTATAACATGTGGCAATAATATGCCCCATATCAGGCATGGTCATCCAATAAAAGAATTGTGCAAATCCATTATCAAAATAATTTAGCGCTCGCTCAATCTCGTTGTACCGTTTATGTTCCCGAATACAATTATTAAAAACAAAGACATATCATGTAGTTACTGCAACAAATCCTTGTGTACCCTACGCCATTCATTATGACCAAATCTCATTGCCATAGCTATGGTTCTATATCCACAGTTACCATCCGGAAAAACTTCAGTCTGGTTAGTGATATAAACATACGCAACAGAGAATGTCATATTAATATATGTCACCCCCACAATTTGCAATAGTGGGAAACGATACCTATTAGTCTTATAGGTACAATCCATGATAAGTATATGTGGAAATGCACACAAAATCTCAATATTAATATGGTGTGTCCAAAATAAGTCAGTTACAATATCACCAGATGTTCTATGCCACTGAATATAATTGTGTTCGGATAACTTAGTAAGAAATTGTTGCATTTGGGTTCTACCAGCAAATTCTTTGGTTATATTTCGGATCCTAGCATTATATATTGTCTTCATAGTTGAAACATTCATTGCATCTCTATCCTTCAGGGTGACCAAAATATCTCTAGGTTTCACCAAACTTTTAGACATATCCACCAACAAGGCATTCTCCTCTTGAGAAAGTCGCCCCACAAATGAAAGACCTTGAAGATACTCTGAAATAGGATGGTTGTGTACTCCACAAACCACTTCCAACTTCCAATCATCCCCATCATCAATATTGACACATTTTAACAAGAATGAGCATCCACATTTCTTGGTACCAGTGTCCCTAGCACATTTTTTCATATCACTATTTGCATCCGACCTTATATCAGTTGTCTCACTAGACTTGCAAGATTTATAGTTACCGCTCCTCTCACAAGCAAGTATTACTCGAGGTCTTCTCTTTCCCTCACCTTCATAATCAGACCTTTTAATTACAATGACAATATTATTCATTTTTCCTCGTGCACAAGCCCATCTAAGTAATGCATCTCTACCATTAAATATCTACACATAAAACTCATGTTATTTAAAGAGAAAATTTGAAGCAGTAATGCCACATTAATGATACTAAAAATGATTTCAAACAAAAAAAAAAAACTCAAAATAATTACCGAATAAGTTGTGAATTGATCACTATAGTCCATTACACATTATGTTCCCACATTGTTGCCTTCAGTAGGGGCGTCACCTTATTTTTGTCCCTTCAATGGAAGTAAGATCAAAATAGCGGTGGCATTCCACCGAATTTACCTATCGCGTTCGGTACTGTTGTGCTGAACGCAACCAACGGCCAACCCTAAACCCTAAACTTGCAAAATGCCAAAAAATAAACTCATACCTCATTTGAAGCCTCTCTAACTTCAATCTCACCCTTCATGAATAAATACAAAATATTTTTTCACCAATATAAACGTATAGAGGTAATTATAGTTTTTTTATATATTATATATATATATTTTTAAATTATAGGCAACTCCATAATCCATTTGAGTTGAGTTTTGTTTTTTATTCAGAGGCTTTTGGTGTATGAACCTCGGGGGAGGTTGACAGTTCAGGATGCCATTGGACACCCTTATTTCACTGATTTAGATCTAGATATGCTGTGAGCATAACTCGTTTAGCACTCCGAACAAGCCCTAAATATGGTTCTGCCTCGTGAATGATTTACTGACATCAAGATTTTACACTCTTGTATAATTGTATTACTTAGGGATGGAATGAGATTGGACATTGTTTTTCTTTAATCAAAATAACTATGTAAAAATGGTCTGAGTTCGAAGCCCGAGGATCAAGATCCGACTCAGGGTTTAAGCCTAAGGCCTAGGCCAAGATCTTGGGGTAATTTGGGGTTTCAGTCCGGTCAAATCCACCTTCAGCTGCTGTTTCTAGCCCCAAAACAAGATTTTGATTTTATCAAATAGAGTATCACAACACAGGTACTGTTTCTTCGTAAATCTTTCCCATTTAATTTTTTTTAATTTTAATTTTTTCGATATGCCCCTTCTGTATTTTTGGCCTTATAGATGATGAGCAAAATAACTGGGCTGGTAATAGCATTTCCACATAAAAATCATTGTAGATCTCCCAATCCATGCATCACGCAAAACCAAGGGCCAGAGCCTTCATTCTTTCAAGTCCAGACTTCCAATTTCAGTTGATAAAAAAACACATATGGCTACAAAACAATATGCTACAAAGGTTGTGATTCTATACACGTTACTATTCAGCATGCATCTCATTTTGAAATTTTGAATTCACTCTCAACGCCTTCTTTGCTAAGTTGCGGATATCTTCCCTACTGGATTCGACTGATATTCGTACAATCTCGTTCAGCCCTCCACTGGATATGAAATCTCTTGCATTGTCCTCTGCATGAATAATAGATAATAGAATTACTGCCTTACTAGTTTATGATCTGAAAGGTAAATAGGTTCAGTCATCATCCTAAGCATCAAAATTTCTATACCTAGAAGTGCAGCATCTGACCAAATTGTATACGAATTTGTAACACCCGTCACGGTTTTTCTGCTGCTTGTGTTTTACTAGTTGAATTATTCTTTAAAACTTTCAAAAACTTGAGGAATGTAATGTAATCACTATTGGTTGTCTAATTGATTTGAAATATGTAAAACTCCCCTGTCAAAAATGCTCAAGTCCAGCCAGTGGGATTATTACCATTTTGTGCTAAATGGCAGAGAGCAAGCTCCATATGGCGTTGTGTTGAAGTTGAGGTACTCTTGCAGTTGCCAATCAACCAGGTAAGGGCACCATCTTCCATCAAAAGTGAACGACTTTTTCTGTGTCATGTAATGTAATCACTATTGGTTGTCTAATTGATTTGAAATATGTAAAACTCCCCGTAAAAAATGCTCAAGTCCAGCCAGTGGGATTATTACCATTTTGTGCTAAATGGCAGAGAGCAAGCTCCATATGGCGTTGTGTTGAAGTTGAGGTACTCTTGCAGTTGCCAATCAACCTTAGTTGTTTATGATCTGAAAGGTAAATAGGTTCAGTCGTCATCCTAAGCATCAAAATTTCTTAAACTAGAAAGTGCAGCATCTGACCAAATTGTATACGAATTTGTAACACCCGTCACAGTTTTTCTATACTATTTATATATTAAAAATAGAGATTCCCTATTATACCCAATATAGGAGCCCAAATTATTATTATTTTTTTATATATAAAAATCGATATGAAATGAACTTTATAAACACATTCAAAGCGCATTTACAACATAACAAAAAAGCTTTTAACTTTTTTTAAATTACAAACTGCCATTGATTTCTTAAAATAAACCCTACCCTACCCCAACCCAAAAACCTAATAAAAAAGCCCAAAAAATATTCAATAGGGCATCAAAGTAATTTAATAATCAAAATTAAATTTAATTGGTCCAGTTGTCATTTTTTGGAATTTTTTTTTTTTTTTGGGTTTGTATATAGAAATTAAATGGTGTATGGTTTATCTATAATATTAGTGCTAAGAATGGGCATATGGCTAAATATCTCTAATAAAAAAGGGATGCGTCCAGCGCATATGTGCCACGTGTCAAAACAATTCATTTTCAAAAAGAAGGAAAAAGAATATAGCCTAGTGGCAGTACTATTTCTTTAAAAAATTCAAAAAGAATCCAGAATAGCCGGGCGGCACTATTTATATAGGGATGCGTCCAGCACATATGTGCCACGTGTCAAAACAATTCATTTTCAAAAAGAAGGAAAAAGAGTATAGCCTAGTGGCAGTACTATTTCTTTAAAAAATTCAAAAAGAATCCAGAATAGCCGGGCGGCACTATTTATATATGTATATAAAGACATGCAAATCGTCTTTGCGCCGCATGTCAAACAAGTACTATTTTTGTTTAAAAATTTGAAAAAAAAAAAAAAAAAGAGTATAGCCGACCGGCTATACTATTTTTAAAGACAATTATGGAAAAACTGAGTATAGCGCGTGGCTATACGATTTTTTTCAAAAAATTCAAAAAAGAATCTAGTATAGCCAGGCGGCTATTCTTCTGTAATTGTTTATATATTAAATAATAATTAAAATATAATTACTAATTAAAGTGATTCAAAAAGCTAAGATATTAATTAATTATTAAACGTGAATGTGCTAGAATCTTTATACAGGTTCTAACTCTGGAAAAGTGAAAAAATGAAAAAGGGACAATAGATACTTGAGTAATGGCCTAATAGTAATGGATAGGGCTCTTGGGCTATGGAGAAATATAATTAGGAAACCAAAATGATTTCACAAAAGACTTAGTAAATAGAAATCAATTATTTTGTGGACTTTTTCTATAATTTTGTATATTAAATAATAATTAAAATATAATTACTAATTAAATTTATTCAAAAAGGATAATATATTACTTAATTACATATATCCAAATTAAAGAAGTAGGCCAAAAAACAGAAGTAAAGTAACTAATTGCATATTTTTTATTTTATTTTTAAGAGTAGAGCCGTTCGGCTATACTATTTATATATAAAAAATGGACGTGCCCAATGCGTTACTGCCACGTGTCAAGACAGTTTTTTTTCATAAATAAAAAAATAAAAATAAAAAGTAAAACGCGTATAGCCGCTATTTCTTTAAAAAAATTCAAATCAAATGTAGTATAGCCGTGCGGCTATACGTTTAATAAAAAATTTATATATATATTATTTTATTCTATAATATGTGAGAATTATGTGTATAATACGTGAATTTTGTGTCTTATTGAATTTTTTGTAAAAAAAATACGTGTATTCAATATGATAAATACATGTGTACGTGTATAATACCTTATTAGACGTGAAAGTGCTAAAATATTTATTGGATAATAACTCTGGAAAAGTAAAAAAATCAAAAAGGGGCAATAGATACTCGAGTAATGGCCTTATAGTAATGGATAGGGCTCTTGGGCTATGGAGAAATTTAATAAAGACACCCAAACGATTACACAAAAGACTTAGTAAATAGAAATCAATTATTTTGTGGACTTCTTCTAATTTTTTATATTAAAACAAGGCCATATGACTAAATCGTGTAAGCTGCCGGCTTTGATTTATATTGGTCAATGATGTTTGTTGTGTGTTTTGACAAAAACAGATATAAAAAGAACGTTTCTTGTGGTACTAAAAGTATTACTATACCCGCATTATTAAGAAGAGCTTGATATGATCACCGATTGATACCAATTTCCAGCTGTTTCGTTCCTAATTCTGATTATGCTTCAATCCCAATGTTTGAACAGATGCTGGAGGTGCCAAGTTTACTGGAAAGTGGATCTGTAGATGTGAAGAGACAAATTTTGAAGCAGAAACAAGAAGACATGATGCCTTGCAGTAGTAATTGCTGCTCTCAATGAAAATGTTTGAAAACGACAGTACAAGAATTGGTGTAACGACAGTTCGGCAGACTATGCTCTTCAGAGAGCGTTTCTAAAGCAATTATCATCACTTCCATTACAATTTTAGCAACTATGCGTTCAGAAACAGTCCTGGTTGTTTCTAAGTTGAATTTATCTTACAACAGAACATCCTCAGCTATCAGTAAAAATCCCACAGAAATAGCACCAAAACTTATACACAATCCCTGTCTAACAAATGGTCCCAGACTTCCTTTGCACCCATACCTCCACCAGCATTCTAAATTATATACATCCGAGGATATGTGAGACGTGAGCACCATCTCCTTGGAAACAAGCATTGAGAAAAAGCTTTTCAATCTGCCAATCAATCCATGCTTTGAGTGAGCTTCTTAGAGCTTTGTGAATGCATTCCACTTGTAAAGCAAAAATCCTCAACTTGCAGTGGTTGTCTTGCATATTTCATAGCCTTAGAACTCTTTCTGTTTTGGTTCTTCCTTTAGCGACACGGTTGAAGCAGGAAGTTTGCCTAGAATCTGAAATATTCAACTGAATATGGCTGATGACAACAGTGGCCTTGCAAACATATCACAGATTTGATAAATGTGAAACTAAGCTCCTTTTAATCACCAATAATCTCCACAGGAACAGCAACCATCTCTAAAATGATGGAACCGATTCAAGTCTCTGACAATGATCTCCCGTCCGTAGATTCTAGATATTAACTTGGTGGCCGTGTGACAATCTCCACAGATTCGAAGGTTCTTCGTCACACGAAGAACTACTCCAGGACTAGTATTGAGAAGTCCAAAGGCAATGGCAAGCTTTTCACTGTGGGTTGTAAGGTTATGTTCTTTCTCCTCCTCACTAACATCATGCAGAACAAAGCTAGTGTCAGGTACATAACCGGCTGCCTTAATCTTATTCGGTAACTCCTCCAATAAAACCTCATAAATTTCCTTTGCTTGAGGGTGAGATGTATCTCCACCAAGAAACAGATGGGCTTTCCCATTGACCTCTATCCAACTGCATCCAGGATTCTTCTTCATGCCTTTAGATTTTAAAAGCGCTCTCAAATCGTCCACCTCCTTCCACATGCCGGCGTCAGCATATATATTTGATAGCAGGACATAGTTGCCACTGTTGTCTGGTTCCAAGATGAATAGCTTTCTAGCTGCAATTTCAGCAATTTCCAAATTGTGGTGGTTTCGACAAGCCGATAACAATGCACCCCAAATGCTTGGCCCTGCTTGCATTGGCATTTTACTCACAAGATCTATTGCTTCCACCAAGCGCCCTGTACGACCCAATAGATCAACAACACAAGCATAATGTTCCACTCTGGGTTCGATAGAGTATATTGTCTTCATACAATTAAAGTATTTCAGGCCAACGTCAACGAGCCCCGAATGGCTGCATCCAGATAACAATCCTGTGAATGTTATGTTATCAGGTTGAAGCCCAGCTCCGATCATGTCCTCAAAAGTAGATACAGCTTCTGATCCACGTCCATGGGAGGCATAAGCTGTTATCATAGTATTCCATGCAACTAAACTATTTTCAGTTTGATGTACTCTTTCGAAACACTGACGAGCATCAGAAAGGCTCCCGCATTTAGCATACATTGCCAGGAGCGCTGTCTGTATGGAAGTATTTGAGTCCAAACCAATTCTGCTAGCAAAATTGTGAATTTGTCTCCCACGCTCAAGGGCAGCTGAATGTGCACATGCAGGAAGAACACTCATTATAGTCACCCAGTTGGGCTTAACCTCTGAATCTTTTCTCAACATCTCATCAAATAAAACCAATGCTTGCTCAGCAAGCCCATTTTGAGTGTATCCTGATATCATAGCAGTCCAAGACACAATGTTTTTGCACAGCATTCGTCTAAACAAATCCTCAGCAAAACAAATCTCTCCATCTTTCATGTGCCCCGCAATCAATGCATTCCAAGAAGAAACGTCTCTTACAGTCATTTTATCGAACAAACTACGAGCATCGCTCATTTCACCACATTTCACGTACATATCAATCAAAGAAGTCCCAACATACATATCAGACTCCAACCCAATTCTCAAGCTCAGACTATGAACACATTTTCCTAACCAAATGCTCGACAAGTTAGCACAACACTTAAGAACAAAAGGGTACGTAAAGTTATCACCTTTAAGGCCTAAACGATGCATTTGACCATAAATTTCCATCGTTTTCTCAGAGTAGCCATACAGAGTATATGCCCGAATAATCGAATTATACAAAAGTGTAGATGGGTTATTTACTCTATGAAAGATATTAACCGCTGAGTCAAGATCATCTGAGCTTGCATACATTGCAACCATCTTGGCCCCAAGGAACGCATTAGGTTCGAGCCCACGCAGAGCCATCTGGGCATGGACTTGTTGGCCTAGTTTCAACAAGTTCTGGCCAGTCAATGACTGAAAAA